CAGTGCCATGCTTGGGCATCCTCTGGAATGAAAAGTAAGCTAAGACATAGTCCTACAATTCAACAATAGCTCAGCTAGGGAGAAAGTAATCTGAATAGGTCCGTGGTCAGCAAATTGCGGCTCATAAGCCACATGCGGCTCTTTGGCCCCTTGAGTGTGGCTCTTCCACAAAATACCATAGCCTGGGCAAATCTATTTTGAAGAAGTGGCATTAGAAGAAGTTTAAGTTTAAAAAATGTGGCTCTCAAAAGAAATTTCAATCATTGTACTGTTGATATTTTACTCTGTTGACTAATGAGTTTGCCGATCACTGGAATAGGTGAACAGTTTAAAAATGAATGAAATGTTAAAGTAAGAATTTCTTTTAATAACAGAAGAGACAGGGTAAGACAGGTTGGGGCAAAATGACAAATCAGCAGCATGTCCAAGAAGTGTGGTGGCTGTTCAGAAGAGGGAAAGAGTACATGTGGCTAGAATACCAGAAAAGACTGGATGGGTGAATTGGGACTCTAGAAAGGAGTAAAATTCTGTAATTAAAACTGTCTTATCTGCTCAACACTATCCCTTGTTCTTCTGGAAACATACCCCTCTTTCTTTGGGGAATTTTTCCTTTTTCTAGTCCAATCATTTGAGTTTGATTCTAGATGAGGCTGCCAATGATAGCATCCTGCATTTTGCCCATTGGAATGGGTATAGGACCCAATTTTAGTCTATTAGAATCCTTTTAAACAAACGAACTGAGAAGAAAAGAGTTCTGCTTGCATGAGATGTGAGGAGGAGCTGATGGCCAGAGGTCCTGTTAGATGGAAAAGACTGGACTGAGAAAGGCAGCTGAGATTAGAGATGGGGTAAAGAGTACTGATGGCATTGGGACCATGGCTCCAGTAGTCTCCAAAGCTCTCACAAAACCCTGAAAGTTATTGTTACATTGTCCTGAAAGTTATTGTTACATTGTGTCCATCGTTTTCTCCTTTTCCCAGAGATGGTCAAGTGGGGCTCATGTCACTTGCAATCATGGTCTTGGCTATGGGAATAGGAGGAGGAGAGTGGCGGAGCTGCCCTCTCTTAGGCAGAAGCTACTAAATGAGCCCACATAGGAAGTGGGAAGGCACAAGACTTCCCTGGGGACAGTGAAGAAGCCAGTGTTTCTAGAGCTGAGGATCAGCATAAAAGAAGAGTGGAATATCAGTCCTGAGCACGATGAATTTGAAACTGCCACAGGATATATCCATGGAGACAGTGAGCAGGCAGCCAGGATGTGGAAGTGGATCTCCAGAGAGGAATTATGGCTGATGCAACTGCAGTGAAAAAAACACTACACTAGGAGTCAAAAAGAGCTAATGAGAAAGAGTTTTCTATGGATTATTCAGTTTATGAAGTAAAGAGAATATTATGAATTTGGGAGCCATCTACATAGAGATAACAATTGAAGTCATGGATGTAGAAAATTCTCAAGGGAAAGGAGTGAAAAGAGTCTTGGACAATAAGAGCATTAAGAATTAAGAGAACTCAGGGTCACAATAGTCAGGTAAGAAAGCTGATTAAAGAGGGGGAGGTTGAGCCCTAACTGGTTTGACTCAGTAGATAAAGCATCGGCTTGTGGTCTGAAGGGTCCCGGGGTTGATTCTGGTCAAGGGCACATGTCTAGGTTGCGAGCTCAATCCCCAGTGAGGGGCATGCAGGAGGCAGCCAATCAATGATTCTCTCTCATCATTGCTATTTCTCTCTCTCTCTCTCTCTCTCTCTCTCTCTCTCTCTCTCTCTCCCCCCTTCCTCTCTGAAATTAATAAAAATATTAAAAATAATAATAAGGGAAAGGTTGAGTAGTAATGAAGAAAAACAAAGAAGCCAGTAAAAAGGTTAATGAGAAAGTCTATGGAATTGAATTTGAGGAGCAGGAAGTCATTGGTTAATGAACTTGGATGTGGCAGAATGCCAGCCAAACGATAGAAGTTCCAGGTAAGGTGATGTCTGCTATAAGGTGATGTATACTCATGTGCCTTGAACTTTCCAACTGACTCCTGCTGACTTTTCAGTGTGGAATCCACATCTCTGTTTCTGTGGGATTCCCCCTGCTCCCTTGAGTTTTCTCCCCCAGAACCACAGAAGGCCATTCTGCCCATGAGGCAAGCCAGAAGTAGCACGGAATTAATAACCCCCAGGAGCAGTCCTTTGATTTACGAGTTAGTGTATGAATTCCTCAGGTCTCTTGCTGTGTCCCTGAGGTGGGATAATTCTAAAGCATGTATTTTGCACCATTTCTGAGTTCCTCTCCCCACCCCCACCCCACCCCACCTAGATTAAGCAAGCTCTCACTGCCCATTGTGATAGCTGGCTTAAGGGTACACTAATGAAGCTGAGTTCCTTTTCTTGGCTTACTTCTCTACTCTCCTAGCAGTTCACAATAAACCACGTATTACATGAACCCTTGTCTCCTTGTGTGCTTATGAGGGAAACCAAACTGACATTTTATAGGCCAAACCAGGACACTTGTAAGGGGAGGGGACACTGTTAATAATTATGCGAGGACCAATGGCATAAAGTGGACTTTGCATATGGAGGTACGGCCTCCATAGTTATATGAATATCCTTTGAGAAGATGGACTGGGACCAGAGAAGAGAGATGCAAAATTTCAATGCCAATTCCCTTTAATCCCAGAAAGTGCAGATATGCAGAGAGCAAAGATGCCTTTTATTTAGAAGGTGCCCCATGCCCCATTACCTGGAGGGCTCTGGCAAGGAATATATCAGCTCAGGCGTGGGAAAATATCTCAGGAGAAGAATAGACCATACAAGTAGGTCAGCACCCAGCCCCCAGGAAAGTGAGGCTTGTGCATGCGTATAATTCAAGGCTCCGAGGCTGCAAGCAGTTTTGTCACCCGCAGTCAATATTACGCTCATCTTAGCATGATGGGCACCTCCTTCTTGTTTCCTCTTGCCTTTCACTAGTGATGTCAGACAAACCTCCTGTGACAACACCTTCGCCTTCTCTCTGCGGGTCCCCACAGCCTTAAGGACGTCGTCTGGCAACTTGGGTCCTTGAATACCCAACGCCTTTCCATTTCAGATATTTCCACATCTATTATCGGCTCTCCTCCAAAAAGAGATTTTTCTCTGCAAGAAAATCTTTCAGGAAAGCTACTCCACGTCCTCACATGGTTGAAGAGGAGCAGCTGCTCTGGATGTGATGGTGCTGAGAAAAGGCAGACACTCATGCTTTTTCCTTCCATGTGTGCATATGAATCTCCTTTCTGGATTCAAGATGGGAGTTTCTGTGTGAGGTCCTTCGTGTGGCTAAAATGCCTCTGATGGGGGAGGGACCTCGGCTCTCCAGGGCCAGGTGGTGAGCTGGCCTCTGGTGATGGCTGTCAGGACACCCCATTCCTGGGACATGTGCCTCATCCTTCTGACTGCCTGCTCTTGACAATCTGGGTCATAGCTGCCTCACTTGAATTTGGAATTGACACATAAGTACATCAATGTGTACTGTGCTAAACTCCTTCTATGTATTAACTCATTTCATCTTCACAAATTCTATGTAGTAAATTAAGTGAGAACTGAGATTCAGACGCTAAGTAGTTTGCCCGTGTTCTCAGATGGTATAGTTTGCAGGCACACCCTTGGACATAGAGGTAAAGCCAAGCTAGCTGGCTGTATTAGACGAGGAACTGTTCTGATGGGCCTCTGTACCACAGAGTTCTTATTATATAGCTTGATGGATGAAAATTCGGTTCCATAACTACACTCTTCCCCAGACCTCAGGGTCTGGGGGTATGCTCTCCCACAGATGTCCAGGGGAGAGTGTATCAGGACAGCAGGTGGTACTGGTTAGTCTCACAAACCAGCTCCTTCCTCAGCTCTCAGCTTTGCTGTGGATTTCATCTCCTGTTCAAAGCCACTCCAGATTTTCCCCTTGCATCACAGGCCAATTCATTATCCCCTCAGGAAAGACCTTCCACGCTCCCACTGTCCCAAGATCTTACACTCCTGTGTCTTTGCCTGCCTGGCTTTCACAGAGAACTTTTCTTGTCCTCCATCATGGCAAGTGGACATGGGTATCTCTCAGCTAGACCAGCAATGGGATGAGCAGGGGCCTCTCACATTCAGGAGAGCCACATCTGTATTCAGAGGGCTACTCGCCAAGCCAAGCTACTTGATGTTCCCCAAACACACTCATAAAATTCCATGCCTCCATGTCTTGGCACATGGTGTTCTCTTCACCATGAATGACCCTTCTCTGAATATCTAAGCTCCATCCATTTGTTAAGGTATGATACCCTTTAGTTACTGTCTGGTGCCTTCACTCAGCCCCGACTAGAAGTGCGCTGAACCTCTGCAGGTACAGTATCCCGCTTAAGTCATGCATGTGCTGCAATCTTTTGAGATACGTATATCACAAAATGTATATTTATGTTCACATTTCCTTTTCTAGTCTTTCATTAAAGGCTGAGTCACAGCCGAAACCGGTTTGGCTCAGTGGATAGAGTGTCGGCCAGGTTAGATTCCGGTCAAGGGCATGTACTTTGGTTGCAGGCACATCCCCGGTGGGGAGTGTGCAAGAGGCAGCTGATCGATGACTCTCTCTCATCAATGTTTCTAACTCTCTATCCCTCTCTCTTCCTCTCTGTAAAAAAATCAATAAAATATATTTTTTTTAAAAACTGAGTCACAGTAATTCAACTGTGCATCTTCAAGTTTGCTCAACAGGGAGCCTGTAGGGCTTTTTTTTTAATCTTGAAGTTTTTATTTCAATGATCAATAGAATGCAGTAAATGGAATCTATACTGATTAATATTATGCATGCACCTCTACCTGAAATTGTTGTTAGTTTTTGACAGGCCTAAATTTTTACAACTTATTTAGGCCCATCTTTGAATTTCTTTGAACCTGATATACAAAGTAAGTTAACTTCTTCCTTGTGGCACTTTAGTAACGAGAATTATGGTCAGTGGCTAGATTCCCTGATAACTAAAGGCCTCTAGATGCTCAGGTTACCTGTACTATCTCGAGAGCATACTTTATATAGATACTTAAGTAAACCACAGTATAGGGAAGGGAGATAATTTAGAAAGCTGAACTGTATTGTGTGAATATTCCTTTTTTTTTTTTTCCCCAGCACTGATTGTCAAAACACTAATTAAGTACCAAGTAAGTCTTCCCCCATTGCCACCCTTGCTCAAAGACACCAGGATGTGTATCAGTGTCCCTAGGCATCTGAAATGAATCCACAGAAATGACAGATTTTACCCAGATGGTCCCACTATTAAATTACAAGAAGCAGTTCCACTATCCAAATTATAGAAAACAGATAATGGGACGTTCAGAAAAACATATTCCCATCTACAGTAATATGCATCTAGAAAAGTTTTCCATTTATGTGTCAATTGTTTGCACAAGATTAACATAAAAACACACACACAGCCAAATACACATATGACCCCCAAGCCCCAAACACACAAAAATATTGACCTTTGTTCATTCTCAGATGGCCAGATGCTCTAAGAGGGCCAAGGGTGGGAGCCAATCTCCCCATAGCCTTTTCTTCAGCCATTCTTGAACTCACTTCCTTTTCCAAAAAGGTAATGCTGAAATCAGTCAGAAAGGCTTTCTGAGAACACTGACTTGGATTTCTGTTCCAGTCGATTCAAGATGAATTGGCTTGTGTCAATGAAGCGCTCAACGCAGTTCACAAAACAGGCCTCAGCCCGACTGTCCAACTTTGGCCCAGGCTTGTTCATGCACTTCTCCCAACAAAGTTCCGTCATCTGGTGCACCAGATGCTGGAAGCGCTGCTTCTGATTCTCTGCCTCCATGAAATGCTGCAGCTGCGGGTCCACTGAGCCCAAACCCGCAGAGGAGGAACTCAAAGAGAAATCCATCCCAGAGGAGCCACGTGCGAGGAGAGATGAACTCTGAAACAACTCCTGGACCTTCACGTGTCTCCGCCTGTAGGGTACTGTTGAATGAAAGAGAAGGGCATACTTACACAGACAGGGGGAAAAGTGATAGGAAACCTCTGGGAATTACAAATAACATGTTAGTGAATTAGATGATGTACTTACTCTTTAGAAGCCGTTTATCTTCTTAGTTAATTTGGGGACAGTGTTTAATAACAACAATAATAGTAGTAGAGTAATAGCTACCAAACCCTTTCAGAATGCCTTAGGGCATGTTGATTACAAGCAACAGAAACTAACTCTGGCTAATTAAAATAAAATAGGAAGATATTGGGAATTGTAATAGGTGCTGTTGGTGTTCTGTTCAGGTCCTTGTTATCTTTGGCACACCCATCCACCAGTCATGTGCATGTTGGTTACAAGCAGTGCATAGCTGTCCCTTCTCCAGAAAATTGCCCTGTGCCAACAGGAGCCTCCTGAGTGTGTGTGTGTTGTGGGAAGGGGGGAGGGGCGGAACCCCACCACCTCCCAGCAACCTGAAGCCAATGACTGATTGATATGGGGGTCATAATGGGCCAACCATCTTGCCTCAAGGCAGGACTTGCTCTGGAGGGCAGTTCACACCATACCCACAGCTATGAGGCTGAGGCTAGATTCCAGCTGAGATGACATAGCTCTTTCCCCTGCCCTAGCCTGCTTCCCTCTCTTCCTTGTAGATTCTCCTAAGAGCATCAATAACTTCTGTGCCAAAAACCCCAACTCTAGACTCATTCTAAGACTACAACCTAGCCCTAACTGGTTTGGCTCAGTGGATAGAGCGTCGGCCTGCAGACTGAAAGGTCCCAGGTTCAATTCCAGTAAAGGGCATGTACCCAGGTTGCGGGCACATTCCCAAGAGGGGGTGGGCAGGAGGAAGCTGATCGATGTTTCTCTCCCATAGATGTTTCTAACTCTATATCCCTCTCCCTTTTTCTCTATAAAAAAATCAGTAAAATATATTTTTTTAAAAATAAGACTCCAACCTAAAGCTCCTCAAAAGGAGACCCGAGAAGAGACAACGCCCAGCTCTTCCTCTGGACATTGCTAAGTCTGTGTCCAACAAACAAACTTCCTCAGGCATCTCACTCACCCCTGTGGTCCATGCCAGCACAGCAGGTGGCAGAATCAAAAGAATTACAGAGAAAAGGGGCCAGCCTGGAGCCTGCCAAACCTCTGAGGTCTTAGTTGTAGGATAAAATGAAGTCCCTCATTAATTAAGATACAGCTCAGGCAGAGGATACGTGTGACTTTCAGTCCAAAGCATTCTATCTGGAGCACTCACTGCCCTGGGTTGGAAAAGATGCCAATGGAATGAGGACACTTGCAATGATTAGTCCCAGGAAAACTCATAATGAGAATTGCCACTCATTAGCTGGGTAACCTTGGGCAAGTTATCTAACGTCTCTGAATCACAGTTTCCTTGTACGTAAAATAGAGATAATTCCTGCATCCACACCATTAAATGGAATCAAGCATTTAAAATAAACACCCACAAGCTGGCACATAGTAAGTGCCCACTGATGGTTGGCTGTTAGATATACTCTTAGAAGAACAGTTGAAGTAGAATTAGAAAGTAAATAGCTATTGCTTTTAAGCAGCTGGTAAATATTTAACAAGTTTTTCTGCACTCCCTCCCCCACGTTTTTCTGATATTTATCCACATCTGCACCTAAGTCAGCCATCACATCATCTGTCAGCTGGCATAATTCTGTCAGTGCATCCACTGACAAGTTTGCCCATATTTAAATTGTGAAATTCTAAAAGGCAAAGATTCCTCCTGTTCCCTTTGCTTGAATAGCCCCCAGCAGATTCCAGGAACATGTGGACACTTAATATATTCTTAGCTCAGTGGTTTATAACTATGGGTCAAAATCAAATTCAACTGCAGTGGTTCTTAAACATTTTTTGGGTCATGAACCCTTTTTGAGAATCAAATGAATGTTGTGGATCAGCTCCCAGACAAAAGCCCAGCCAAGCAAAACAACCAATCACTGGATCCCTGCCCCACCCACAGGCATAACACTCCTGTATTAAAATATTTTAAATAAACCAAACATTGCCCTCGCTTGTTTGGCTTAGTGGATAGAGTGTCAGCCTGCAGACTGAAGGGTCCAAGGTTCAATTCTGATCAAGGGCACATACAGGGATTATGGGCTCGATCCCCAATAGGGGGTGTGCAAGGAGGCAGCCGATTGATGATTCTCTCTCATCATTGATATTTCTGTCTCTCTTCCTCTCTTTCTCTCTGAAATCAATAAAAGTATATTTTAAATAAATAAATAAACCAGACAGTTAATAAACATTGCCCTGTGCCAGGGGCATCACAACTATATTTAATTTAATCTTTTAAAAAATGCCAAAGTGAAGGGACTACTCCTACCTTTTGAATAAGTTCAGAAAGGTTAGGTATCATGTGTGAGGTCATGCAGCCGAGTAGTTGCATTATCCTGGCTTGTAAGCCTTCCCTTTTGCCCTAGCTCAGTGGTCGGCAAACTCATTAGTCAACAGAGCCAAATATCAACAGTACAACGATTGAAATTTCTTTTGAGAGCCAAATTTTTTAAATTTAAACTTCTTCTAACCCCACTTCTTTAAAATAGACTCGCTCAGTCCATGGTATTTTGTGGAAGGGCCACACTCAAGGAGCCAAAGAGCCGCATGTGGCTCGTGAGCCACAGTTTGCCAACCACTGCCCTAGTTGATTTGGCTCAGTGGATAGAGTGTCAGTCTGCAGATGGAAGAGGCCTGGATTCAATTTCGGTCAAGGGCATGTACCTCGGATGCATGGGACCTGGTAGGGGTGCATGCAGGAGGCAACCAATCCATGTGTTTCTCCCACATTGATATTTCTCTCTGTCTTTCCCTCTCTCCTCCACTCTCTCTAAAAATCAATGGAAAAATATCCTTATCTCCCTGTTCCCTCATGGGTCTGCAGACAGACTTGGTCTATTGTTTGTTCTCAAATGAGATACCCTTGGAGAAAAAATAAATAAATAAAATCCTGCCCAAAAGAGGGGCCCAGTAAAAAGGACAAAACGGACCTGCTCTATCCCAGGGAACACTAACAACTTCTCTCCAGACCACTCAGCCAACACCCCTCTTTGTTTTCCTGTTGAAAGGGGGGAAATATTTTCCGGACAGTTGAAAGAAGAGTTTTTCCATTAATCTTCCCTTTTAGCGTTGTTTCACCAAGATCCAAAGTGACACAAAACAAGCCCCAGAATTTCACACCAAGGAGGGTGGAAAACTGCACTCTGCCAGGGATGGGCACAGTTGTCTCAAGGCAAAGAAACAAGGGACCATTTCATCACGAGAGTGTCAGTACCCACCCCCACAGTGGGACCCAAGACCACATGAAAGCAGCTTCCCATGTTGAAACGAAGACCTGAAGAAGTGCTTTAGTACTTTCCGGACATCTGAGTAGAAGTGACATGCCTAGGAAACGCAAAGACTGCCACAGGTGGAGAGCCAACCACGTAAGCTCTGGTCTTCTGCCCCAAAGCCTCCATCAGGGGCTAGACCTCAATTTTTATTCTGGGGCTCATCTGTTTTCTTCCAGCCATGATGGATGATCTGTAAAATAGGTTCCTTCGATAGGCCTAGAATGATGTCCTGACCAGACATGGGCACTCAGGTATGAAATGGATCCCCTCTACATGGATAGAGCAACGTAAACAAGGAGAAGAGGCTCAAGCTTGACCTGCTGGGCCCAGAATCGAGTCAGGAATGACTAGAATGTGAGTTGAATTATTCCCACTGTTTGGCAGAAAAGTAGCCTCTTTTGATCAATGGGATGGTTGTTTTGTCGCTGAATAGCTAAGCTATTGATTGTGCCAACTGGCCTTTTCTTTCACACCAGGGTGGGGCTTGGGGTTGGGAGGGTCAGTCTGTCATCTGGATGTGAGCCTCTTGGCTCTGGACACTGTTCCTGCTGCTTTGAGGCTGCTGGGCCAGCAGAGGGAAGAGGAGAGGGAGGGAGATGCTCCCACCCTGTGCATTTTCCCCTCCGCGGGCATGTGGAGCTATGGGACTGGTTCCTCTCCAGGCTCTACAACTCATAGCTGGAACAAGGCAAGGGGGGGGGGGGATAGACAGCACCCCAGCCTCTCTCTAGTCCTTCTCTAAACCCCTCTCTCAACCTTTTCCAAAAACAACTCATCCCTCTTCCTCATTCAGCCAAAGAACAAAAACCTTTGTGCATATTGGCTCAGAGACAGGCCCCCAAGAAGTCACGACTTGGAATGCCAGTGTGAGCTCATCTGTGTAACCCTGTTGTCTTTGAACCCACAGAGCCTACAGGCTGCTAGCATGTTTGAGACCCCAGCTAACATTGGCCTCTTCATGTGCCTCTTCACTCCAATGCTAAGAGGATGGGGAGGAAACTCCAGCAGAAGGAGGTTGAGTAACACCTTCAAGGTCACCCAGCTGAACTGGAGGGAGCAGGCTTTGAACTCACCTCAGCTGAATGCTTCACCTCCCACTGGTTGGATGAGCAAATGGCCCTTATGAGATGCAGTTTCTCTCATCTGTAAAATGGATTGTTCTGATGTTTGCATGAGTCAATGTTGGAAAGGGGCCTCTCTATGTTTGACACTTAGGGCCTTTTCCTCCAGTTACATTAACATGTGAGAAGTGATGGAAGATGCTTGTTGAGGAAGAAAATTTTCAGGATATTTAAGTATCACTGGGATGGAAAGTACAGCATAGGGAATATAGTAAATAATATTGTAATACGGTGCCAGGTGGGAACTAGACTTACCGGGGGACCACTTCATACATTATATAAATGTTTAAGCAGTATGCTGTATACTAAAAACTAATATAATATTGAATGTCACTGTCATTGAAAAAAAAAACTTTTAATTAAAAAAAAATTATTTTTTCTGCCATATATACCTGTCCTTCTTGAACACAATTTTTAGTCCCTTTCACTCTTACCACCCTTTCCTGCCCAGATGCCCAATATCGTCCTGTATCCCACACTCCTGTCAAAGAGGGAAACACTAAGATGCCAGTCCTACTATAGTGTTGGAGAATCAAGCTGTTTATGAGGTTTCGAGCATTTACATTTTTAAAGGCCATAAGAAAAGGAATACTTGGTCAAAAGGATATAATAACTTATGGTGGGATGGG